GTAGAGTCCAAGGGGGAGGCATTGGCCGTTAATTTGGACATAGCGAAGGCCTTCGATCGGGTTTGGCACAAAGCGCTTCTTTCGAAGCTTCCTTCCTATGGGCTTCCCGAGAAATTGTGCGCTTGGATCACCAGCTTTCTTGCAGATCGGAGCATCTAAGTCGTTGTAGATGGTGCAAGCTCCGATTACAAGCCTATTAATGCTGGTGTTCCACAAGGCTGCGCGCTATCGCCAACGCTGTTTCTTCTGCGTATCAATGATATGTTGCAAACCCGTAACATTCATTGCTATGCAGATGACAGCACTGGTGATGCGCTTTTCACCGGCCGTGCCAATATTTCTCGAGAAAACGTCTCCAAGTACCGGGACAAACTTGTGCCTGAAGTTGAGTCTTTGCTGAACGGAGTCTCGGATCGGGGGGTGACTAAATTTAGTCTAGTCTAACTCCCAGAAAACACAAGTTTGCGCGTTAACCGCTAAAAAGAACCCCTATGTCGTATCTCCTCAGTTTCAAGGCACTCCCCTTGTTGCCCCAGTCAGTATCGGAATCCTCGGCGTCGACATATCGAGTGACGTGCAGTTTCGTGGTCACTTGGAAGAGAAGGCTAAATTGGCCTCTAAAAAGCTTGGCGTACTCAGCAGAGCGGGACAGTATTTCATGCCGGCACACCGCCTGCAACTTTACAAGGTGCAGGTTCGGCCGGACATGGAATACTGTTCCCATCTCTGGGCTGGGGCTCCCAAGTACCAGCTCCTTCGACTTGACCGCATCCAGCGCAAAGCGGCTCGAATCGTCGACGACCGAATGCTTTCCGATCGGCTCGATTCATTGGCGCTGCGAAGAGATGTTGCATCTCTTTGCATTTTCTTTCGCATATACCATGGGAAGTGCTCTGAGGAATTGTTCAGATTAATCCCAGCCGCCAAATTTCGAGAACGTACTACGCCGCAAACGTCCCAATACCATCCACGCCATCTGGATGCTTGGCGGTCCACCACTGTACGTTTCAAAAGGAGTTTTTTTCCGCGTACAACCTCTCTGTGGAATAGTTTACCACCGGCGATTTTTCCGGACCGATACGACTTGGGGACCTTCAAGAAAAGAGCTTACTCCTTTCTAAAGGGCCGGCAACGCACCTGCAATTCCCCAGGTGTTGCGGTTGATCATGGGCGGCGGTAGTCACTTAACATCAGGTGAGCCGCATGCTCGTTTGCCCCCTCTTCTATAAAAAAAAATACAAATAAAAATTATTAAAATTATATTACACATCAGCGAGCTGCCCCGGTTTCGCCTCGGTAAGATCTAATGCGGCGTTATTTAGATTTCATAATGCCGCCCTTAGATTTAAGATAGTCAAACAACAATTTATTTCATAAATTTTTCGTTTTTCTCAAATAAACTCTTCAAGTTTTTCGGATAAAATAGAGCCTGGAGCCCACCTGGCATTGCTCTTTATCTCTTCGTAGTTTCATCGCAATCGGTTCTGCTATTCCGAATATTGTCCCAAAACCAGACAGACAAACATTTTAATAATTGGTTATTTATGCCATAATAGCACACAAATAATCTCAGCCTCAAATCTAATCTGAGATCTCAGCCTCAGATCTCTGCCTCAGATCTCTGCCTCAGATCTCAGACTCAGACTCCAGCCTCAGATCTCAGCCCCAGATCTCAGTCTAGGTTTGATCGCTCCCCACGCAGTAAGCAGGAGTGGTATCAGTCCTGGGATGACGCTTCGGTGGCTAGGGATGTAAATATTAGCATAAAATTCATTCATTCTTCATTCTTCAAAAGAATTATTGCCAAGGCAAAGTATGAGCATATTGGCAGATTTGATGAGAAATTAGGTCGCCTTCATTCGGGAACCCGTTCATTCTGATCTCTCGTCAAGGCTGTCCAAGGGTATTTCTGTAAGCCATCACTTTCATCTCTGTACAGGAAGAACGACTCACTGGCCCATGCCGAAAGAGATAGGCTCCTTTTTTGCGTCTAACTCGACTCCCGATGACGGAGGCGACACACCGCCAACTACCCTACAATGTAAGTTTTCTATGCCTGATATGTGATTCACACAGTGCTCAGTACGCAAAACGCTCCCCTCCCTGGACATCCATAAGCCGAGTGAGCCTGACGGAATCCCCCTAATTTGCTGAGTACCTATTCTAACGCGGTACTCCGAATCCCCAGGCGTAGTCTCGAATTAATGGAAGACGGCTTTCGTACACCCAATCCCTAAGAAAGGTAACCGGTCAGATCCGTCCAACTACAGGTTTATCGCCATCATCTCCTTGTTCTCGAAAATTATGGAGGCCATTATTAACTGCCAACTCATGCGGTAATTTGAGGAGCACCAACTGATTAGCGAGTAGCCAGTAGTATGGTTTTCGTCGGGGTCGCTCAGCTGGTGATATTCTTAATTACCAAACACATCGATGGGCGCAGGAGTCGAGTCCAAGGCTTCCGCTTTGGTGGTTAGCTTGCACATAGCGAAGGCCTACGATTGGGGTAAACACAAAGCGCTTCTTTCGAAGCTTCCTTCCTATGGATTTCTCGAGAAATTGAGCAATTTGATCACTACAGAGGGAAACAAATCAGGCGATGGGCAGCAGCGTCTTCCTAACAACGACTAAAACCAAAAAGACTACGGTTGCCAACCCGCTTGCCAAGCGTGGCAACTATGGCAAATATCCCCCTTATGGGTCAATTTGGTCTCCATAATTTATCGGGGAGACCTATGTTCAGCAGTGGACTTTAATAGGCTGTAATTGTAACAGTAACGTTCTAATTCATTTACACAGTGTGCAGTGCTTCCTACTAAAGTTATACAATCGTACCATTAGCCACTAGGTATTTTTGGTCATGATCACTGCGTCCGGTCAGTTGTTACTTGCAGTATTAACTAATATAGGTACAGGGTTATTTTGCAATTACCGACCAAATTCGTAATAATAAGTAATATAGGCAAATGGTGAAGAAAAATTTATTTAAAAGAAATCTCAAAATGTTGTCCTTTTTATTTTTTAAACTCAAGATGCGTGGTAATGCAAAATTTTAACACATATTCGTAAGGGTCGATTGATAGGCAAAAATATTGTTGCCATTAAATCAGAGTCAATTTTGGACTGTTTCAAATAAAAGTAGGAAGCCCTATTTACTTTTTTTAATCTTCAATAACGTTCTATCATTATTTATATATTTGAAGTTAAGGTTACGTTTAAGTATGCATGAACTGATGGCAAGTTGCTTTTATTTACTTTCCTATATAAAGGCGTAATATTAATGCAATAAAATATAAGAATTATAGATATATTAGAGGCGTACGATTATGTTTTAATTAAGAGCCAGTAACAAATCATTATCAATCTTTTGACTGCACAAAATATCTATAAAATTGGGCTAACTTTTGGACAGTGTCGCTAGTTTTATTTCTTTTATGTAACGGTTATTTTGTTTTACTACATTTCAGTTATATTGTAAATATTTTGCATTAAAATTAAAAAAAAAACATTTGAAAACATCGCTTAAAGTATCTGTCCTTTTATAAGCTAAGGTTTATTTATAGGTAACATAAAATTTAAATTAATTTTATTCTAATAACACTTCATTAATATTAAATTAATTTAATAATAAATACAAAGGATAAAGCAGAGTTGATTCACCCTAATGCCGTACTTATATTTGTAAATACGAGCTATCTACAGTACGGTTCGCAATAATTAGATGCCTAGGTAGATAGCAATTCTCTACCACCCTACGGAAGCCTACGCCGCTTGTTTGTGGTGTTAGGTGTTACATGGTGCATTTCTATCGGTGTTTTACAAAAAGTGCAGTCTTTATTTCTTTTCGTTTAAAGTTTTGGAAGTTTCCCGCCTTTTCCGTGTTCAACAGATAATAATTATAGCTGATACCATGTAGTTTAGGGTATATACTACCTATATAATATGTAATAGACAATACAGCTAGTAATTCTATTAAATTAATATGTGTACGGAATTACATTTTTCAAATTACTTTAAAGTAAAACATGAAATAAAAGTGAAAAAGATAGTGAAATTCCAGGTTAACTATCTACTAGTTTCATTAACTGCAGTGAAATTATAATTGAAACGTTTTAATAATTTGATTGTTTTAGTTGCCTACGAGGGAAGGATTGACTACGCCAAGGAGCGCTCGCGCTTCCATAGGCCGGAGACCTAGTACGCTTCCACATCAGCGTTTAAAAAAGGAGGTAATTATATTCATACGAGTAATAAACTAGGGCTGATGCAGATGCAAAAGTAAAACCTTTTGCTAGCATCATAAGCAGAGCGGAGTAAAAGTTTAAAGTCATAAATATCTTTATTTCAACAAAAGATTCAATCAAATGGTGTAACGTTGCGCAGATGTAAATTAGCGAATTGATTAGAGAGTAGAAGAAGAAAAAAGATTCAACTTCAGATTTTAATTGTTTACAAACCTTGTCTGCGTCGAGTCACAAATATTGCCGAAAAAATTGTGTAAATTGGCCTACGGGTTACGGAGAAGATAGATTTTAAAGAATCGTTTTTATTGCGCCATGGGAGCTCCGCTCCAATAAGACTATCAAATACTGAAAACTATCGACTACTTATCATCCAGTATTTATTATCCATTAACTTCGCAGGTATCTTATATTTACCAATTCTTATAGGTAACAGTAATAAGTGTAAAAAGTTACAGATTTACATACACTATTCACTGAGGAATGTTAGCTAAACTAGGCATGAAAGTTTGGGGCTCATTATTGAATTGCAAATCAGCGCAGACCAACCCCCCTAAGCAGCCCTATTCACAAGAATGACTAATTTGGCAGCCATCGCCCTCCTCGATCGAGTTTGGTACTGCGAACGTCATTCCGCCTGCCAAATGTGACTGTTGTGGTAAATTCTCCATACATCTGGAGAGACTGCTAAAAAATCTTTAAAAATCAGTTTTAAACCTCAACATTTTTTGCTAGAAGGCTCCCGAAAGTCCACCGGAAATGGATTCACCGGGGAGTGGAAGTAGTGACTTGAGGCGGCAAAACGAAGAGCTTCGTGCACGTCTGGCGGGGGAGTCTGCAGATCACAAGCGCAGGCTTGATGCTTACCGCCGAGCTCAGCAAGGACAAGCTGCTTTGGTGTCACGACTTCAAGCAAAGGTACATAATAATATTTTTATAGAGTACCTAAATAAATATTTTTTTTCCATGGAAAATAAAGGAGGATGGCCAAATTTCTATAGGAGCTGGACTTGCCTTTTTTTTCATGTCCCAAAATAAACTATAGTTAGATAAGGTTTGTTTTTATGTTGTAAACACAATCACGTTTAAAAATAATATCTAAATAGCCACGATTTTTTATAATAACGGCAACAATATTTTTAAGGCTAAATCAACAAATACCTTTTACTTTTTTTATTGGCCATTTTATGAAAATATAACATTGGTATGTCAAAATTACAATCAATGCAAATGATATAAGATTACATTAGATTATTAAAATTACAAATCAAAATACATTTACTATATTTTTACATGTCAAAAAATGAAAGAAGCAAGTCAGAAAATGAACATTTCATATATTCTTCTATATTATAGAAAGCGTGATTCATAAAGTATGTTTTTGTCACTTGTCGAAACGAAGTCTTGTTATTTTTGGCAATTTATTGTACATTTTGATTTTTAACGAAAAACCTTGCTTGGACGGTTTATCCGACTGCGACGTAGCCTAATAGTGTAGTTAAAATAATTATATTACCCAATAATAGAACATCTCTCAAAGCGCACCCTACGTATGTGCACCATACTCCTAGAGTTCGATGTCAAATCAAAAAGGGCCGTCTGTCAAACCATCTCGTGAACTTGACCATTTGGACAACAAATTATGACCGATAATTCAATAAAAACTACACCTACATGTATTGCACTAGCTTGCACAGTATGTAGTGTAAAAAACAAGGATGGCGTAATTATTATCACACGAAGTCTTTCCTAAAAGATTTCAAGGCTTTTTTTGTAGTTTGACCATTTTAATTCTAGCTGAAGAGAGTTAGTCGCTAGATACCTACTGTCTTTCAGTCTTCAATACTAAAGTTGCATATGTATTGAAAAATCGAGTAATGGTAGGGGTTACGGGAATAAATGAAGTGTAATGGTAGAATTTAGGAGTACCTACTTTAATGAAACAAGTAGGCTAGACAAAATTACTTTTTATTCATCATCCTCTCTTATGTCTACAACATCAAGGAGTGATGTTGGCACTGGCGATATAGTCGGCTGATGCCTTCAAAACCTTTGAAATAATGCTTGTCACATGAAATTACATCAATCATTGTGCAAAATGGCAATAAATCATTATCATTAAAAATCGTCACAAATCCGCTTCTGAAAATAGTTATACAAAACCAGACACAGAAACTAACAAAATTGTTGATATTAATTTATATTATAATCGCAAATATAGTGATTAAACTCTTTGGATCTAATCCATCGCTTGAATCTGTTTCATCATTGAGTTACATATGTGGGGCTTAGGGAAATATTGCTGTTGAATAATTCCTGAAATTCGATTAAGTTAAAAGAAAGTCATTACATATCGGTATTTGAAGATTTAACTATACATCTAATTAGTCCGATACCTCGTTGCTATACATCGATTACTTTGCAATGTATTGATATATATATATATATATATATATATATATATATATATATATATATATATATATATATAGTCTAAGACTAACTAAAGTTCTGGGCAATGACTGATCTGGAATATGTAGAATGTAGAATTTTAAGTTCTCTCTATACATACGTACGTATGTAATTAATTGTTAACCGCAAGTTACTGCAAGAAGTTTCACAATAGTGTTTACAGTTGCGACTTGCGGCAAGTCCTGCAAGTTACAAAACTTGCGGAAGTGAGCTTGACGTAGTTTTAATTGGTGTTCAGTAATTTGTTGTCACGAACCCTAAGCTCATAACAATTGGTGTCCGAAGTGGGATAAAAACTGCCGATTGAATTACCAAAATTGACACTTTAATTACTGAACACCAATTAAAACTTAAATCACACTTAACACTTTAGTTCACTTTATTTCACTCACTTTATTTCTGGAAATGAGGCATTCCATCTTAATCCTCACGGGTGACAATGCATCTGCATTTTGATTCGTAATCGAGGATAGATGTAGGTGTCTATGGACCACAGCAACCACTTACCATCAGGTGGACCGTGTGATCGTTTGTCTCCCTATACTAAAAAAAAGGGGGCAGTGTTGCGCGCTATAATTAGCGCCTGGTAAGTGGCGGCTGATTATTAGCGCCATCTGGTATCAAGCAGCAGAAATAGGAGCGTCAACATCTTTCTAGATTTCTCCCACTAGCGCCATACTAGTATCGAATTGAAGAACTAAGCTTTCTAGAAAGCCCCACACTCGAACTTTCTGCACCTGGTCTATCGGAGCCGGTATTTGCTGGAATATTCTGGATGTTTCGGTGGAAAAAGCCTATTTAAGCAGTTGAAAGCCGCGATCGGGGCAGTGTTGAATTGGCGATACGAGCGAAGCTTTCGGAGTGAAATAAAGTGAACTAAAGTGTTAAGTGTGATTTATGTTTTAATTGGTGTTCAGTAATTAAAGTGTCAATTTTGGTAATTCAATCGGCAGTTTTTATTGTCTCGAACCCTAAGCTCATAACAATATCCTATCATTACTCAAAATAATTCTCATTATATAATTAAAATCAAACATATTCAAACTACACAAAATACTTTAGTTTTTTCATTTAAAAGCTCGAATACAGACATACGATTTTACAGCACAACAAACTTTGGCATATTATGTACGCTAGTAACATATAAGTCAATGATATTATGTCAATTTTAGTTTCTGGTATAAAGGTTTCCGGTATCGAGTAATATTTATAAAATATTAGAAATCACAAGAAAATACACAATAATAGTGGCCTCGGTTCCATAAAAGAAAATCTATCCCGAACGGTTTGCGCTCTACGCCATGTTTTTTTTATTGTGTGCGAGCAGCTATGCAAAGAAAGTCTAGGGAAAGAGACCAGTATCACTGCGACCTAGAAGATCTATTGTGATCGCTGCTATGGCTATAGTTCACGGCTAAGCCCTATGTCTTCAATGAATAGAAGGAGTTGCTTGGCCGTGAGCAATTTCACTTCTTCTGAGCGGAGTAGATAGTTTCCCAGATGAGTGTTACGTTTGCGCATTAATGGTCCGCAAAAAGTTAGGATGTGTAAAGGCGTTTCTTCCGTTATGGAACAGAACCGACACATCATTGAGTTGCTTAGTCCCAGGATGGACATGTGCTTTTTAAGACAACAGTGTCCAGTTAGGGCACTTGTCAGAATGCGCAATTTGTTTTTACTTAATCCCAGGGCTTCTGAAGCGAATTTACGATCAAAAGGATTAAGGTTTTAGAATGTTTTAAGCCTGGTGTGTCAGACCAGATCTTATTTATTGTGATAAAGAGTTTCAAGGGTCAATCGGGCTAGGCAGGCTTCTTGAGATTCCACAAAATGGCTCGGGTCCATATTGTGTGCAATTTGAGCCCTCCCGTGTAAGTTTGTCGGCAAATTCATTGCCTACAATACCCTCGTGACCCGGAACCCATCTTAAAACAACACTGTTGTTACATTCCAGGGCGTTTAAACGGTTCACGCAGTCTCCAACTAGCTTCGAGTTCACTAAGTTTGACCTCAGCGCTAGCAGTGCAGCTTGACTAGCAGAATTTATGTAAATTATATGGTTGACGTAGTGTTTTTGCAGATTAATCTTCACACACCTAAGTATGGCGAAAATTTCTGCCTGGAAGATAGAGGTGTATCTACCTAAACCCTACGCCATGTTTTATAAAATTCCGAAAATTCGTACTTCTGCTCATATTTGTGGACACCACGTCCGCAGTTTAATGCCTAGATTGCATTTTTTCTTTTAATGTGTTACCCAATAACGATGTTTCTAAATTATGCTTAAAAATTTTCAACTTCTATGGATGGTATTTTACAGATTTAGATTACACGGCACTAAACATAAGTTTAAATTTTGTTACTTTATTTAACTCCTAAGTTTGAGCACCTGTGGTGAAAAAAAACCTATAGGATCTGTGCGGCCAACCATTTAAAAAATTTGCCTACATCATGAGGATTCTAAAATAGTAGCATACGATGTACTTAATGTCATTACTTACTGAGCTAGCTAATAGCCGTTAATGTGTAAAAGTAGGCATTTCATTTAAAAATTATTTACAGATAGTTTTTTTTAACATTGCATGTATTTATTAGGTAAGCACATCTGTCGCCCTTGAAAATTTTACTTTACTACTGCTCGCCTTGTTTGGACGAATTCTAAGCTGTGTGAACGAGACAAACAGTGAACCTTGACATGTTCTATTATGTACACCTGTGAAAATATGGTTTGTGCTGTTTTTCATTAGTTAAGGATGCGTAACACAATGAATAGAAAATGTAACAAGTTATATGCAATTTTTTTATTTAAAATCATTTACAGAGAATGCTCGAACTAGCGTCTTCATGCCCTTACGCATACTCTACATCTTTTTACAAACAATCGTTCTAAATGTCTTTGATAATTTTTGGTTGAAATAACCCTTACTGCGTCTGTGACGCAACGTCTAAGTTTGTCAATTGTTTCAATTGGTGTTTTATAAACTTGCTCCTTCAGGCAGCCCTAATAAAAAAATCTAATGGGATTAGATCCGGTGATCTTCGTGGCCACGATATCGGCGCTGTTCGGCCGATCCAACGGTCACGGGAGGCTTAGTTTAAGTAACTCCTTACTTGGACGGCGTAATGTGCCGAACAACCATAATTTTGGAGCCACGATCTTCGCCGGATGTCTAGTGGCTAATCTTCTAATAAATGGGGCAGCTCATTTAATTAACATTTGCAGAAAATCTTAATAATTGGCCCCATTCAGGGTACCCGGTAATTCATAGGGGCCTATGATTCTTCCGTTTAGTATTCCTGTTCAATAATTTATTTTAAACTGGTATTGCGACCTATCTTCTCTCATATAATATGGGTTTGTTCGCTGCCAACTGTGCAGAATATGCAAGTTAAGGTACCCGTGTCTTTTACACGTTGACTCGTCACTCCACAATTTTTTTATAAAA